TTAAGACAGAGTCTCGCTCTTTCGCCCAGGCTGGAGTGCAGTGGCACAATCTCAGCTCACTGCAACCTCCGCCTCCCGGGTTCAAGCGATTTTCCTGCCTCAGCCTCCTGAGTAGCTGGGATTACAGACACACACCAGCTAATTTTTTTTTCTATTTGTAGTAGAGATGGGGTTTCACCATGTTGGTCAGGCTGGTCTTGAATTCCTGACCTCGTGATCTGCCCCCCTCAGCCTCCCAAAGTGCTGGGATTACAGGCATGAGCCACCATGCCCAGCCAATGTTTCAATATTTTAATCATGTTTTTCATGTAAGAATGAAATATTAAGACTCTGATTGTGTCCTTTTCCCATTACGGTATAAGTAGCTGCAGTACTGTGGACAAAATACCTGGGTCTGGTCTAAGTCTGAAGCATCCTGGCTCTGCCCTTACTAGCTGGGTTATCCTGGAGGGCAAATTAATATCTCAGGTTAGCCTAAGAATCAGTTCATATATAAACTGTAAGGCTGTTGAGGGCTAAATAAGACCACGTGTAAAATGTTTAAACCTAGCACTCAGAAACGGATTCCACCTGCTACCTTGGTGCTTATTAATGCAGAAATATCCAATCATTTTTAGTACCTTAAATGCTATTTAGCAACTAAATAAATTCCTAGCATGATGAAAAGTGGGAATTACTTCAGACTGAGGTGGAATCAGCTTTACTAATTTTGTAACAGAATAATAAGTACTCTGTAATATGACATTGTACTTTTAAACTGAAGACTCCTTATGAAAAGTTAAAAATGTGTTCTTAAAACAAATTTATTGAATTGAAGCTGAGCATATTAACATTATACAATCATGCATATCTGTATTTTAAAATTATACAATCGTTGTTCACTGTGTAAAATTTGCAAAATACAGGTAAGCAAGCAAAGAATAATTATCCTGCCAGAGATGAATGCTGTTAGTCTTTTAGTAACTCACCTTTAGAGCTGTTTTGCGGGGTAGATACATAACGCAAACAATCGGTATCATTAAATCTGTGTGCTTTTTGAAAAGTGATTCTGGAGTGAATAAAACTCAGCTGCAACTTACTTTAGAAGAGATACACTGCAGGCGGGTGCGGTGGCTCACACCTGTAATCCCAGCACTTTGGGAGGCAGAGGCAGGAGGTTCACTCTGAGATCAGGAGTTTGAGAACAGCCTGGCCAACATGGTGAAACCCTGTATCTACTAAAAATAAAAAATTAGCTGGGCGTGGTGGTGTGCATCTGTAAACCCGCCCGGTCTGAGGCATGAGAATTGCTTGAACCTGGGAGGCAGGAGGATCACTTGAAGATGGGTATTTGAGACCAGCATGGGCAACAAAATGAGACTTCACTTCTAATAAAATGAAAAACACAGGAGGAAAAAAAAGCTTATGCCAATATCATAAGCTTATGCTATGTCAATGATCTAAGTTCTGGCTACATAATTGAATTTCTTGAATTTGACAAGTCAAAAATTGCGATTACTTTAGAAGCCACCTCACTGTTGCTTCATGTGCAAGTCAGAGATTTGAAAAGTAAGAGGCATTAGAGATGGGGGAAGAAGGCAGTGTCTAAATACACCTCTTCTGTGCCAGTATTCTTCTTGAAAGACTTTCTTTCCTGAAACGTCTTTTGACTTCATCATCACTGAATGAGGAACAATCCAGTGTCTTATATTCAAATTATCCCATGAGTTGAGATTTCATTTATTAGAAAATGTATCATTAATTTATTATTTGAGATGGAATTCCACGTTTGTTGCCCAGGCTGGAGTGCAATGGCGTGACCTCAGCTCACTGCAACCTCTGCCTCCCGGGTTCAAATGATTCTCCTGCCTCAGCCTCCCAAGTAGCTGGGATTACAGGCATGTGCCACCACCCCCGGCTAATTTTGTATTTTTAGTAGAGATGGAGTTTCTCCATGTTGGTCAGGCTGGTCTCAAACTCTTGACCTCAGGTGATTCGCCCTCCTCAGCCTCCTAAAGTGCTAGGATTTCAGGAGTAAGACACTGCTCCCAGCCTGAAAATGTATAATTTATAATGGTGACTTTAATTTTCAAAAATTACCTTCAGAAAATATCCCCTCTCAGCATGAGGTATTGGCTTTGGATTTAGGTGACCCTTTAATTGCTCAAACCTCTGCTATCCTAATTTATTACATTTTAATTGGTATTGATAATTACCTTTTTTTTTTCTAATAGATTACCTTTTCTGAATTCCACTCGTGTAAATCCAACCCTAATATTAAAAAGCAATTGGCATGAGAGATTCAAGTAAAATAAAAACATGGTTGATAAAAAAGACCAAAACTATGCCATTCTTCTTTTTTTTTTTTTTTTGAGACGGAGTTTCACTCATGTTACCCAGGCTGGAGTGCAATGGCGCGATCTCGGCTCACCGCAACCTCCGCCTCCTGGGTTCAGGCAATTCTCCTGCCTCAGCCTCCTGAGTAGCTGGGATTACAGGCACGCACCACCATGCCCAGCTAATTTTTTGTATTTTTAGTAGAGACGGGGTTTCACCATGTTGACCAGGATGGTCTCGATCTCTTGACCTCGTGATCCACCCGCCTCGGCCTCCCAAAGTGCTGGGATTACAGGCTTGAGCCACCGCGCCCAGCCGCCATTCTTCTTTTTTTAAAGCCAGTTTTAAAATTATAAAGTTTAGACTTTAAAAAAATCATGCGATTCTCCTGTCTCAGCCTCTGCAGAGGCTGCAGTGAGCCAGGATTGTGCCACTGCACTCAAGACTGTCTAAAATAAAATAAAATTCTAATATACATAAGAATATAAAGGGGAAGGTAAAAATGTCCTCTACTCTATCTGACCTCTAGTCTCATTCACTGTCACTGCATAGTCCAATGTGGAAGCCAATAGCTACATGTGACTATTCAAACAAAAAAAAATGTTTTTTTGTGAGATGGCATCTCACTGTTGCCCAGGCTGGAGTGCAACGGGATAATCTCAGCTCACTGCAACCTCCATCTCCTAGGTTCAAACAATTCCCCTGTCTCAGCCTCCCTAGTAGCTGGGATTACAGGTGTGTGCCACCAGACCCATCTAATTTTTTTGTATTTTTAGTAGAGACAGGGTTTTGCTATCTTGGCCAGGGTGGTCTCAAACTCCTGGGTTCAAATGATCCACCTGCCTTGGCCTCCCAAACTGCATTACAGACTTGAGCCACCACACCCAGTGTGAAACTGCAATTTTAAATTCAGTTCCTCACACTAGCTATTATTTCAATTGCTCAACACCCCCACGAGGCTAAAGTCTATCACACCGATAGTGTAGATACCAAGCATCCCATCACAGGAAGTTCACTGGATAGTGCTGCTCTGTAGTAACCACAGCTGGGCACCTGCATGTTTATTATGAGATCTCTCTATTCTAGAGGCAAACTCCTTATCAGATACATGATTCTTCAAAATTTTTTCTCCCATTCTGAGGTTATCTTCACCTTCTTAATGGTGTCCTTTAAGGTGCTCAAGTTAGCTTTGATGAAGTCCCATTTATCTATTGTTTTCCTTTGTTGCTTGTGCTTTTGGTGTTGTATCTAAGAAACCATTCCTAAGCCCAACACCACAAAGATCTACTTCTGTTTTTGCTCTTATACTCAGATCTATGATCCATTCTGAATTAGAATTTGTAACTGGGTAGAAGGTAGGGATCCTTTTGCTATGCATGTAGCTACCAGTTGTCCCAGCACTGCTTGTTGAAAAGACAACTCTTTCTCTACTGAATGGTATTAGCATCCTTGTTGAAAAGAAGATGATCAGAAATGTACGAGTTTATTTCTGGATGTTCAGTTCCACTCCTTTGATAAATATGTCTATCCATATGCCTACATTGTCTTACTGTAGTTTTGTAGCACATTTTGAAATTGTCAAGTCTTCCAACTTTGTTCTTTTCCAAGATTTTTTGGCTATTCTGGGTCCCCTGCATTTCCATATCAACTTTATCGGTTTGTCAATTTCTGCAAAAAATACAGTTAGGATTTTGATAGGAATTCTGTTGAATCCGTAGACTAATTTGGGCAGCACTGCCATCTTACCAATATTAACTTTCAATCCATAAACATGGGTGTCTTTCCATTTATGGATCTTAATTTCTCTAAACAACATTTTGTAATTTTCTTCTTCTTGATGCTACTGTATATAGGATGTCCTTATTCTCGTTTTCAGAATGTTTGTTGTTAGCATAGCTATAAAACTGATTTTTGTATATTTGATCTTGTATCCTGCAACCTGTTGAACTCATTTATTACTTTATGGGTTCCTTAACATTTTCTATGTACAAGTATTTATGAACTGTGAATACATGTAGTTTCACCTCTTTTGCAGTATAGACAGCTTTTCTTTTTCTTGCCTAATTGCTCTGGCTAGAACCTCAAGTACAATACTGAATAGAAGTAGTGTGAGTGAGCATCCTTGTTCTTATTCCCAGTCTTAAGGGGAAAACATGCAGCGTTTAGTCTATCACCATGAAGTATGATGTTAGGTGTGGGCTTTTCATAGATGTTGTATTTATCATATCTAGGAAGATTCCTTTTATTCCTAGTTTGTTGAGTGTTTTTATCTTGAAAGGGTTTTGGATTTTATCCAGTGCTGTTTCTGTCTCTCTTAAGACAATCTATGTGGGGTTTGTGCTTGATTAAATTTGGTACAGTTGATCCTCATTATTCACGGTTATGTATTCGTCAATTTACCAACTTGCTTAAATTTATTTATAACCCTCAAATTGATATTTGTGACACTTTTGTGGTCATTTGTGGATATGTGTAAATAGGTGAAAAAATTGAGTCACTCAATTCACACGTTCCCAGCTGAGGATGAACAAGATGATGCTCTGCCTTCCTGTTTCAGCCTCATAGAGAAATAACTGGAGGATGGAAATGGCAGGGGTAATTCAGTGTAGCATAAGAAGCTCTGGTTCCGGGGTCAGCTGGACAGGGTTTGAATTTCAGTTCTGGCACATGTTTTAGTGGGGTGTGTCAGGTATGTCACTTAACACTTCTGATACCTCACTGTGACTTCTGTAAAACAGAATCTGCTAGAATGAAGCATTTTAAGAATTCAAGCTCATAATTTGCATTACATAAGCATATGTATACACACACAAACACACATTCTCCTAAAAGCAGTCATTCCATATTTAATTCAGTGTTGGAGAATATTTTGTAGAACATAATTACTGTGAATGAGAACTGACTGTATATTAGCTTATTATTATTATTTTTTTTACATGTTGAACCAACCTTGAATTCCTGGGATAAATTCCACTTGGTCATGATGTATAATCCTTTTTATATGTTGCTAGATTCAGTTTGCTAGTATTTTGTTAATGTTTTTATGTTTGTATTAATAAGGAATATTGGCTTATAGTTTTCTTGTGATGTCTAGTCTGGTATCAGGGTAATACTGATCTCAGAGAATAAGTTGGGAAGTGTTCTACTTTAGAAAGACTTTGTAAAAAAAAAAATTAGTACTAATTTTAATGTTTGGTAGAATTCAGCAGGGAAGCCATCTAGGCCTGGGATTTTCTTTGTGAGACTTCTAACATTACAAATTCAGTATTTTTCCTTGTTAGTGCCAATTGTATTTTTAACCAACTTTTCGGGAAAACCAGAAATGATAAGAATATTATCTCATTAGGCCAGTAAATTTCAAGAAGAAAACACATATTATCAAGGAAGATGCTAAATATCTGGAAAATTCAGCGAGGCTGCTATGAAAATTAACCATTATATCTTGATTCTTAACCTCTGCTAGATCTAGCTTTAACAAACATTTTGTTATTTCTCATGTGGTTTCATAATCTTATGAACAAGAAATTTCAGCCTGTTCTACATCAGATTTATATACAAACCTCTTAAGTAAAACTTGCAGCAAACTCCTATAATCCAAAACTAAAGTTTGTACATTCCTTAATACATAGATATGTATCTCTCTGTACTTATATATATATATATATATATAAATATATTTCACTCTATCTACAGAAATAACACTTATCTCAGAAGCTGTCAGGAAGGCAGTGTGTAGTGGAAACAGTGGAATAGAATTCTGGTGCCTGCTCTAACTTAGATAAAATGCCTTTATGTGCTTCTCCCATTGAAGAAATTAGGTTATGCCTGGTGATCAGCAAGGTTCTTTTTGGTATTAAAAATACAATGACTTATTCTACAATAATGCTATTCCCATTGCTCTTACTTCACAGTGGTCACAATGAAAATATTTTGTATATACATATAAACATACCCCCATACTTCAATTGTACAGAACTAATCAACCCATTCACAAAATCTTAGAAGAGGAAGTCTGTGATTAAATAATTCCAACATCTCAAAGTCCTGAAGTTTGCTATGAAACAGTTTCTACTATTCTTTCTCTACATATACAGATTTGCCTTTTCACAATGTCTCACTTTATGTAAGTACAGTACTATTTCACATGAGGCATCTATAATTATGTAAACCTTCAAAAATGAGGTCATTTTTCAGAAATTCTGAGCCTGTCAGAGAAACTAAATGGTATTTCATCAGTTGTCTCTACTGGCACATTACTTCTACTAAAATGACATGCAGAATGGTGAGCAAAACTTGAAATAAATGCATCTGGAGTCCGGCTGCAGTGACAGCTATCTGCTGGCGTAACATTACTTGGATTACCAGGATGTGAATGGTAAACACCATGGAATGGGTCTTGCAATGAGTGATAATGCCCTGCTCCTCCTGAGGTGGTGGCAGAACTCTGGTAAGGACCATTAGACATAAGACAAGTTTGAAAGCAAGTCTTCCTTCCCAAACCTCGATGCATGTCTAATTTAGCAATGAGAGGTTTCCCAACATTCACCTCCTGCTTGTCCTCTACAGTATCTTCCAATCCTGAGTACTGATACGATAAACATACTGTGAAGACTAGATGTTCCTGCAAAGGCAAAAAAAAATCTGGTTTATTATTGGCATCAACAGGAAATATATAGTAATCTGAAAAAATATTATTCATTCCCCCACAACACACATCCACTTGCTCTCCTATCCCAGGTTCCACATCCTCAAGGCATCCTTTTTATCTCCCCTAAACTGAGAAACACCAGCTCTCATCACCTTCCTTTTCCTTCATGCAATACTTACAACAAATTTAGTAGAATTTCTAATTCTTACTATTGTTGGTAGTCAAAATGAAGGAGACCTGATATTCCAGATGAACAGTGAAAACATATTTTCCAAGCAGTGTGGCTTAGGAAACTTATCCTTCCCTATTATTAGAGATGGGGAATTATCCTTTAATTAAAAAAATGAACTGGGCCGGGTGTGGTGGCTCAAGCCTATAATCTATAATTCTACCACTTTGGGAGGACGAGGCAGGTGGATCATTTAAAGTTAGTTAGGAGTTCAAGACCAGGCTGGCCAATGTGGTGAAACCCCGTCGCTACTAAAAGTACAAAAAATTAACTGGGCATGGTAGTGTGTACCTGTAGTCCCAGCTACTTGGGAGGCTGAGGCGTAAGAGTCGCTTGAGTCCAGGAGGTGGAGGTTGCAGTGAGCCAAGACGCCACCGCTGCACTCAAGCCTAGTGACAGAGTGAGACACCATCTAAAAACAACTGTTTTTATTTTTTGAGACAGAGTCTTGCTCAGTCACCAGGCTGGAGTGCAGTGGTACAATCTCAGCTCACTGCAACCTCTGCCTCCCGGGTTCAAGTGATTCTCCTGCCTCAGCCTCCCGAGTAGCTGGGACTACGGGCTTCTGCCAACATGGCAGGCTAATTTTTTGTATTTTTAGTAGAGACGGGATTTCACCATGTAGGCCAGGATGGTCTCAATCTCTTGACCTGGTGATCCACCTGCCTCGGCCTCCCAAAGTGCTGGGATTAAAGGCATGAGCCACCGTGCCTGGCCCCAAAACAACTGGTCTTATGCCAGTTTTATTAATAAAAAGCTTAAGCTGTTTTTAAAGTATTATAATCTGTAATCATAGGTGGAAAATATAACTGAATCAGATAACGGGCTAACTTTTTAAGAGAAGAAAGGATTTTAAGTAGATGAGCTCTAAACAGGATTACAACAGGTTTATGTGTGTAATTCTTAATCGTGCCCATTCCATTTCCTGAGTTTTGGCTGATACAGTTGTGAACAAATTAAAATCTCAATTTTTGCAAAGAAAAGCTTTCATTACAACATTCAACATGCAGAACTAGCTTCTCATTTGTAAGTCAACTAGAAATAAAAAAAATTGAAATTCCAATTCTAATTTGCTATATATTTAGTTATAGAACTAGGAAATGATTACTTGAAAATCTCAACATATTTAAAAGTAGAATATGGAGCCGGGCATAGTGGCTCACATCTGTAACCTGAGTGCTTTGGGAGTCCAAGAAGGGAGGATTCCTGAGGCCAGGAGTTCAAGTTTGGCTTGGGCAACATAGTGAGAGCCCTTCTTTACAAAAAATTTAAAAAAATTAGTGTGGTGGCTCATGCCTGCAGACTCAGCTGCTTGAAAACCTAAGGTGGCAGGATTGTCTGAGAGCAGGAGTCTGAAGTCACAGTGTGCTATCTTCGTGCCACTGCACTCCAGCCTGGGTGACAGAGTAAGACCCTGTCTCTAAAAAAAGAAGAATATGCTTTAGGCTGGTTGCAGTGGCTCACGCCTGTAATCCCAGCACTTTGGGAGGCTGAGGCAGGCGGACCACCAAGTCAGGAGTTCGAGAGCAGCCTGACCAACATGGTGAAACCCCGTCTCTACTAAAAATACAAAAATTAGCTGGGGCTTGTGGTGCACGCCTGTAATCCCAGCTACTTGGGAGGCTGAGGCAGGAGAATCACTTGAACCCAGGAGGCGGAGGTTTCAGTGGGCTGAGATCGCGCCACTGCGCTCCACCCTGGGCAACAGAGCAAGACTCTGTCTTAAAAAAAAAGAAAAAGAATATGCTCTATGTTCCTAATTTTTCAGCAATATGGAGGGTAAGCACAAATAAAGTCCTCTGCCCACCGTCGGAAACAGAATATAAAAAGGGTCACCGATAGGACCTTCCGTAGATTGGTTATCTCTAGTTTAATACTCAATAAGGCAGCATATCTATGGTCTATGCCAAAATAAATTTCCAGTTTTGTAAAGTTCTCCATTAGAAGCTATCAACAGAAAAGGTAGTAACCTTTAATTTTTGCAGTGAACTGAGTCTGGTATACAGGCAATGCTTGGGAAGATCCTTTGATACCAAGTAGCTGCCAGTTTCTTCAGGAGTGCCTTTATTTGCATCTTTTGGATCAATATCTAGGTCCTGTAAAAGAAAAATCAGTGACAGTTAATAATAAAATCAATGAAAGCCACAATATAATCTAGCACATATGACGTCTTAACTGATACTGTTCTCTCATGAATTTTGGCCTCTTGTGAATTTTGGTAAGCCCAAAATTATTTATCCAAGACTAAATGAAAACAACAATCTATGGTTATAATAGGAATTCTCAACTCTGTACTAAGCCATTTAAAAAGTAAAAGTGAGCTCTGAAAGAGTTTCAAATGATTCCTAGAAATGCTTCTTGGGCTACTCAAGTTTCCTCTTAAGCAGAGAGTGTCCCATTATTGTTTGACGCTTGGATTCTCTCCTCTTAATCATCACTTTTGGGAAGGTGCAGGGAAATATATATAATTAGAATATTTAAGAAAGATAAATAAGCAGACTTTTCCTTTTTCTTTAGAGCCAACCCCAAGGCCAAGAGAGTTCTGCACCTCTAGTGAGAAGCCCACAGGGCTCCCCCTTGCTCAACACCCCAGGAAGCCTATCTGGGCTCTGTGCTGCTGAGGCTAGAGGTGTAGGGTGGCCACTGAATTCTGGGGTTTGGTGCTAGACCATGTACTCTCACATGAAGCAATACCCTCCACAAAGCCTCTATCAGTAATAAAAGTGATATTCTGGGTTTCTGCAGGTCTCACTCCTTGCTTGCATCTCAGTTTGTCACACTCATGTAGGAAACAGGGGTACTATTTACTGGCTTCTTTAGACTAATGTAAAATAAATATCATACCTAAATGTTTGAAAAGAATAGAACTAGATTTCTATTATTCCAGCGATCATAACTTGACAAGACTTAAAAACTATTGTTTCCAATATAAGTTATAACTGTTTAAAAGGAAGTTATTCTTGACATATTTATAGCACATTTTATTCCTTCACATTTGTTATCCTGTTTAAGATATGAGAAATTAAAGGCATCTTTCTTAAGTAAACTTTAGACATTTCTAAATCTGATAAGCTTTTTGGCCATTAGTAAATATTATGACCAGGGTTACTAAACTATGAACAAATATACACACTTATATATCAATATGCATATTTCCTATATGTTTAATAAGTGAATTTGTCACTGTATTTTAAATAAGAGAAAAAAGGAGAGACTCACAAGTGGGAAATCAGTAACGTAGGCATCACACATTATTATCTCCGGTGGTCTGTAAACTATACTTGTATAGATTATCATGACATTGGAAAACTCAGCTGCAAATCCTAATTGAATCTGAACACCACAGTCAAACTTAAGACACATACTTTCTGGAAGTTCTAAAAAAGAACAAATAAGAACAACTTTGGTAGATTTCCTGATAAGAGGCACATATTTATGAAGGAGAATATGGTTAGCCTTTCTTTTGCTTAAAAACATGAATCATATTGTTTAAACACACATTTTTAAACACACATTTAAAAAAAATAAAGCTCAATACTCTGCTGGCCAAACAAAATCTTTCATTTACCATTTGCTCATAGTTCTTACCCATCTGTATATATAATTTTTATTGTGGCAATCAAAAATATGCATACAATTATAGACATATTTTCACTGTTGCCTCAGTTTGTATGACCAGACTATATTTTTTTGAGATGGAGTCTCGCTCTGTTGCCAGGCTGAAGTGCAGTGGTGTGATCTTGGTTCATGGCAACCTCTGACTCCCTGGCTTAAGCGATTCTCCTGCCTCAGCCTCCCTAATAGCTGGGATTACAGGCACATGGCACCAGGCCCAGCTAATTTTTGTATTTTTAGTAGAGATGGGGTTTCACCATGTTGGCCAGGATGGTCTCGAACTCCTGACCTTGTGATCTGCCTGCACTGGCCTCCCAAAGTGCTGGGATTATAGGTGTGAGCCACCACACCTGGCCCATGACCAGAATTTTTAATAAAGCACAATGTCACTGAAAGGCCACATTGTAGTTTAACGATTCTGTTAACTCTTGAATTATAATACTTCCAGGTTTTATTGTTTTTCTATCATAGTTAATATTTGTTTGTATATATGTAATGCTTTAAGATTGTTAGATATAGCTATGTGATTGTTCCTTTACATATGAGGACAAATTATTTTCAATTTACAGGGAATATAAAGTTTTACCATAACACATCCAAAACAGTATTAATAACTTTTAAAATATTTGTCTAACTTGATGGGATTAAAAAGTAGAAAGATATCATTTTAATTATTCCATAATTACTTAAATTAGCCATTTTTAAGATTTTTCTCAATATACTTCTAGGAGTGTGGATTATTGAATCTGCATCATTTGCTTGTTTACTGAGGAGAGTCTTAATGTTTTTTCCTCTTATCTTTTTGTATGAGCTCTTTATTATTAAAAAATATTTAAAAACTACCTACTTAATTAAATTTGTTACAAATACTTTTTTTTTTTTTTTTTTTTTTTTTTTGTTTTTTTTTTTTTTTTTATTTTTTTTTTTTTTTTTTTTTTTTTTTTTTTTTTTTTTTTTTTTTTTTTTTTTAGATGGAGTCTCGCTCTGTCACCAAGCTGGAGTGTGGTGCTGTGATCTCAGCTCACTGCAACCTCTGTCTCTTGGGTTCAAGTGATTCTCCTGCCTCAGCTGCCTTGGTAGCTGCAACTACAGGTGCATGTCACCACATCCAGCTAATTTTTTTGTATTTTTAGTAGAGATAGTGCTTTACTATGTTGGCCAGGATGGTCTTGAACTTCTGACCTCGTGATCCTCCCACCTCAGCCCCACAAAGTGCTGGGATTACACCATGCCTGACCTGTTACAAATACTTTCTCTGACCTTTTCGTTTTATGAGGTTTTGTTTACTGTTGATCTTTACCGCTATAATTTTGTTATTGTTTGTTGTTTAGATCTTTTATAGAGAAAAGACAATTTCAATTAATTCTCCAGTTATCTGGAATGGTGAGATATTTATAGCATTTTACATTTTAATGTGCTTTAATATGTTAATTTACCAAAAATATATACTGGAGAACAATTTCTTTCTTTTTTTTTTTTTTTTTTTAAGACAGTTTTGCTCTTGCTGCCCAGGCTGGAGTGCAATGGTGCGAGCTTGGCTTACTGTAACCTCTAACTCCTGTGTTCAAGCGATTCTCCTGGCTCAGTAACCAGAGTGACTGCAATTACAGGTGCTCAGCTAATTTTTCTGTTTTTAGTAGACAGGGAGTTTCACCATGTTGGCCAGGCTGGTCTCGAACCCCTGACCTCAGGTGATGCACCCATCTCGGCCTCCCAAAGTGCTGGGATTACAGGTGTGAGCCACCAAGCCTGGCCAAGAACAAAAATTATTGTAAAAATAAAGATATTTTATGGAACTTCAATAAATACAATTATAAGAGACTCACAGAATAGATACTTGGACTCAGAAAATCCAAAATATTTCAATCAGTAATTTAAACATATTTTTTCAGTAAACCATATACAGTTACCCAGAGGTAATTAAGCTACAGATTGATTTTCACCTCATTTTCTCTGTTGATCAACCTACTGATCAAGTGTCCAAGAAAGGATGCTGAGTTATATTAATAATCACAAGTACAGAGGACTTGCTGAGTGCCATGCTCATTTCTACCTGTGCACTCATTCAATCCCAATAACCTCTGAGGCAGGTACTATTTATTTTCTTTTTGAGATGGAGTCATGTTCTGTTACCCAGGCTGGAGTGCAGTGGCACAGTCTCTGCTCACTGCACTGCAACCTCTACCTCCAAGGTTCAAGTGATTCTCTTGCATCAGTGCCTAGTAGCTGGGATTATAGGAACAAACCACCAAGCCCTGCTAACTTTTTGTGTTTTTAGTAGAGACAAGGTTTTGCCATGTTGCCCAGGCTGGTCTTGAACTCCTGACCTCAGGTGATCCACCTGCCTCAGCCTCCCAAAGTGCTAGGATTACAGGTGTGAGTCACCACACCCGGTCTGAAGCAGATACTATTTCTTATTCACATGTTATAGATAACACATTCATAGAGTGGTAGAGACTGGGTCAGAACCCAAATCCATGATTTTTGACAGCTGCACACTTTAACAGGTCACAATACAGGAGAATCTAAGGGATTGTGTATTAGATAAATGGAAAATTAACCTATTTTTAAAATAGAAAAATTTTTAAATGGTCATTTTAATTTTACCAATAATGAAAATAATGGCCTAAAGAATTTGATATTTCCAACATCAAATAAACCAGTGTAATATCCATAATTGAAACATCTGTTTGGTTTGAGATTTGCCTAGTAGGCCAAAATATTTTCACTGTAAAACTGGGAGGAAAGTTAGTTATTCAGAAGAAAAAAAACTATATGATTTAACATAAGTATATTATAGATGAAACAAAAAACAGACTTTACCATACCATGAGCCTTGGCCCACTGTAGATTCCGCACCAGAGATTCTGCAGAATATTCTGTTCCCTGTATTGGATCAGTAAGTGCTCTCTTCTCAGATAAACTACTTCGAATCTCTAGAGCCTGTTTGCCTTTGGTAAGGTGACACTTACCCATATCTAAAAGATATGAAAAGAAATATTATTTTTTTGAGATGGAATCTCGCTCTGTCACCCAACCCAATCTGGAGTGCAGTGGTATGATCTCAGCTCACTGCAACCTCTGCCTCCTGGGTTCAGGCAATTCTCTGCCTCAGCCTCCCAAATAGCTGGGATTACAGGTGCCTGCCACCATGCCTGCCTAGTTTTTTGTATTTTTAGTCTTAAACTCCTGACCTCATGATCCACCTGCCTCTGCCTCCCAAAGTGTTGGAAACACCATGTTTGGCCAATACTATTTTTAAGACCACCAATTCTTATGTTTTAAATATTTAGGCTAAGAACTATCTTACGTTATCAGGTTACATTCTCAGTATCATTTATTCACTCAACAAATATTTCCTGAGCACCTACTATGTGCTAGACATAGCAGGCATGTTTTAATTTTTACTTGTGTAGGTATTCATAAATAGTATATGCCAATGTTTTACATTTTTGAATTCAACAAAAATGCTACATATATGTCTTTGTAATGTGCCATTTTCCTTCAACATGTTTTAGATACAGACTAATGTATATGGATACACATCAGTTTAAATTTAGAACTATCATTCTTTGTTATAGTTTATCTTACTTCTGTCTACTATGTTATAAATTAACAATAGTAAGGTTCTTTTAAAAAAAGAGAGACAAAAATATACAGTGATCCAGAACAAAGTCTAAGTTAAATCAACCTGTTAGGGGTTAAAAGGAGACACCAAGTATTGTAAAAGTACATTAAAATTAGTATTTGTTGGAGAAGAAAAGACATAAAAAGGAAAATGAGCCAAATCAAAAAATTAGATGGTAAAAACAAATACAAAAAAATAACAAATGCAAATGAACTTAATTTACTCATTAAAAGACTCAGATTGGATTTTAAACAACTTGCTATATGATGCCTCCAAAAGCTACAGTAAAGCAGAATGACGACATGAAATGTTTGAAAGCAAAAGTGTAAAAAATAACATATTAGGTCAGCAAAAAGGAAGCTGGTATGGCTCCATTATGATACAAAAAGACAAAAAGCATTATTTGGAATGGAGGCATCACTACATAATAATAAAATGTTCAATGCAGTAAGAAAATATAAGCATTTAAAGCACAATAAGATAGTCATATGTATGAAGTAAAAATTGCCATAATTACAAGAAAAATTCAGTAAATTGAGAGATTTCAACATCTCTCTCAATTATTGATCAAAAAGAGAATCAGCAGAAATACAGAACTGAACAAAACAAAAATTAATACGCCAAACGTAATGGGCATACATAGAACTCTACAACCAGTTACTATAAAAAATATCAATTTTTCTCAAGTACACATGCAAAATTGACAAAATTTCATCTTTTACTTGGCCATAATGAAAACTCATAAATTTCAAAGCATGGCAACTAGACAGACTTTATTCGATCACAAAGCAATTAAGGTAGAAATAAAAACCAAAAAGCTAAATAAAAATTCCTGCCATATTCGAAAATTAAAGACAGTATTATATAACTTAAAGGTCAAAGAAAAAGTAGAAATTAAAAAATCTAAACTTGTAGGATGTGATGAAAGTGATGTTTGAAGAGAGGCCTAGAAACTTAAATTGGAAAAAACAGGCTAAAAGTGAACGAACTATTTATGATGTTAGAAAAAGAATAAATTAAATACAAGGCAAGACATAAATAAACAGAAGTTAATGATATAGAAAACAATAAAAAAGTAGAAGAAATCAACAGAGCCGAAGATTGGCTCTTCAATACAAAATAGCACAATGGGCCAAAGCTGGCAATAAAGGAAAAAGGAAAGCAGGTACAAGTAACGCTGATGAAAAGGGGTGCATAACTACAGAGAAAGTGGACATTGAAGAATACTGTTAGAAATAGGGGCAACTAAATGACAACAAATCTGAAAACTGCCCAAATTCCTAGGAAAATATAACTTATCAAAATTGACTCAAAAAAGAAATGAAAAGCCTACATGGTAAAAGAAATATTCAAGATATTAAAGCAGTAGTTAAAAATCTTCTACCAAAAACAAAACAAAATAAAACAAAAATCCTAAATTGGTTTATGGGCAAGTTCTCCCATAAACGTTAGGAAACAGATCATAATTTACACAAAATTTCCCAGTAAACAACAGGGTGTACTTCTGTATGAGAGTTCTCCAGAGAAGCAGTGTGTGTCTACGTGCGCGCGCGTGTGTGTGTGTGTGTGTGTGTGTGTGTGTGTGTGTGTGTGTACACATAGAGGGAGAGTGAGAAGAGGAGATTCACTTAAGGTATTGGTTCATGAAATTGTGGCGGTGCAAGTCTGAAATCTGCAGGGCAGGCAGGCAGGGTGGGGAGCAGAGAAGAGTTGTAGTCTGAGCCCTAAAGGCAGGCTACTGGCAATCTCCTTGCTTGTGGGAGGTCAGTCTTTGCTCCAGTAAGGCCTTCAGCTAACTGGATGATGCCCATCCACACTATGGAGGGCAATCTGCTTTACTCAAAGTCCATCAATTTAAACTTTAATCTCGTCCAGAATAACGGTGGATCCATCACATCTTGAATAATCTAAATAACTAAATAAATGAAATATCTAAATAACTAAATAATTTAAATAACTAAATAAACTAAATACCTTGGCACTGAGGCCTGGCGAAAGTTGACATAAAATCAACCATCACAACCTCCATCTCATTCTACAAGGCCAGCATAACAATGATACTCCATATGCCACTGATACTGCTAACACTGATACCACTAAATACTAATTTTATTTTCTCATAAAATTAAACCAAATACTATAAGAAAGTAAAATTACAGGCCCATTTCCCATATGAAAATTCTAAACAAAATGATAGCAAATTAAATCTAGTAGTGTATTAAAAATATATCCCAATGAAAATGATTTATCTCAAGTTGGATTAATGTTAGACTATCCATTAATTTAACTCACCACATTAAGAAACTGAAAAAGAAACATCCTATCATCTTCTTCATAGCTGCAGAAAAACCATTTAATCTTGTTCAACATTTATTCATAATAAAAATTTTCAAAAAAATTAGGTGAAGACAACTTCCCAAACTCAATAAACAGTATTAATAAAAAACTTACAATATTATTCCAAATGTGAAAATATTAGCAGTATTCCCTTTAAAGTCAGAAACAAGACAAGGATGCCCACAACTACCACTTCTATTTCCATAGTGTCTTAGAAGTCCTAGCTAGTATCATATTAAGAACCCAGATAACATTCCTCTAAATCAATAGGCCAAAAAAAAAAAAAAAAAAAAAAAAAAAAAAAAAAAAAAAAAAAAAAAAAAAAAAAAAAAAAGAATCCCACACAGTAGAAAAATGAACAAATGACATGAACAGATGTTTCACATAAGATATACATATAGCTATTAAAAATACGAACAATGTTCAGTAACACTAGTGGTTAGGGAAAACCAAATCAAGACCACATGAGAACCTATTTAACATGTGACTGGCAAAAATATAAAAGTCTGACTATCAAGTGATGGACAGAGTACAGATTCACGTTATCTTTTGCTGGCTGAGGGGAGTGGGGTAAATGTGAACTCGGCAACCACTTTACAAAACTGTCTGGCATTCCCTCTTAAAATTGAATACTGTCACACCCTATGACCCAGCAATTCCAAGTCCTAGAATTACACTGCAAAGAAATTCTTGCATACATATTCCAGGAGACATATACAAGACTGTTACAATAGCACTGTTCACAACAGCAAAAACCCGCAACTAGCTCAAATGCTCACCAACAGGTGAGTAGTTGAAAAAAACTGTAGTATGTTTGCATAATAGAATATTACATAGTAGATAAAATGAAAAAACTACAGTCATGCAACAATATGGATCAATCTTAGCAAAATAATAACTAGAAAAATTCTAGTCCCAAAAGACTACATACAGCATAATACTGTTTTATAAAGTTAAAAGCAAACTTTTTTGGGGTGTATATATAAACTCAAAAAAACTATGTAAGAAGAAAAAGGAATGTAAGATTAGAATGGTGGTTATCATGGAGTGGGAGAAGGGAAGAGGGTTTCTATAATTAAATGTAGATTACTATCAAGGTCCTATATTCATACTGAATATCCACACACAATAAAAACCTTCAAAAGTATATTCAATACTTCTAATAATGCTGTCCTGTATAACACAAAATAAAAATCGGGGGTTACAGACTGATGGCTGCAGCTTTATAACAACCAATTTATCTCATATTTTGTTTTCCTAGCACACAGTTGAAATTGGTAAAAGGGCTGGCCAATGGTGGGTCACATCTCTAATCCCAGCATTTTGGGAAGCTGAGTTGGGTGGATCAGTTGAGGCCAGGAGTTCAAGACAAGCCTGGCCAACATGGTGAAACCCTGTCTCTACCAAAAATACAAAAAATTAGCTAGGCATGGTGGTGCATGCTTATAGTCCCAGTTACTGGACTTGGGAGGTTGAGGCCAAAGAATCATTTGAACCTGGGAGGCGGAGGCTGCAGTAAGCCAAGGTTGTGCCACTGCACTCTAGCCCGAGTGACAGAGTGAGACTGTCTCAAAAAAACTAAAGAGAAATCAATAACATGTTTATTTTCCCCTTCGACTGCTTGGCTTATAAACTCTGAATACATTTTTCCCTTTTTTTTTTGAGACAAGGGTTTGCTCTGTCGCACATGCTGGAGAGCAGTGGCATGATCATACTTACTACTGTCTCAAACTCCCAGGCTCAAGCAATCCTCCCACCTAAGCCTGGCTAATTTTTAAAATTTTTATAGAGATGGGAGTCTCACAATGTTGCCTAGGCTGGTCTCAAACTTCTGTGCTCGTGATTCTCCTGCCTCAGCCTCCCCAACTGCTGGAATTACAGGCATGAGCCACTGCACCTGGCCCGAATTTAATTGAGATGGGGTCTTGCTGTGTTGCCCAGACTGGTCTTGAACTCCTGGGCTCAAATAATCCTCCTACCTCGACCTCCAAAAGTGCTGGGATTACAGGTGTGAGCCACATGCCCAGCCACAGAATAATTTTTAACTAATCCAGAAGATCCAAAGGGAGAAGCAGCGAAGTTTTGTTTCAAAGTTGAATGACTTGTGAAAAATTTTGTACAACTACTTTTTGCTCTTTGCTACTAAGACAGGGGTCAGACATAAAGCACACAAAACTTAAAATAAGGCCTGGATTTAACCATATTATTTATCATGATATATCATTGCACAAAAGAAGTAAGTAAATCATGATATTATTAGGCCTTTACTTATTTTGTACGATGAGTTGGCCATTCCCCACGAAGGGCACAGTGTGGACAGCACTAACTGAGTGTGCTCTGTGTACACTGCAGTGTCGTCTTGCCTGGGCAACTGCAGTTAAGCAGACATGGTGGAACTGAAAAAGATCAGCAAAAAGCAAAATTTTCCTAAGACTATAAGAAGTTCAAATATCCTCACAGCATATATTAAGATGCCATTCATTGCTATGACAATTTAGTAAATATCATATATGGGTAAGCATGGTGCTTACAGTTAAAATTATACTTAAAAATGAAATTGAAATAAAATACTTTAGAGTTTCTGGAGCACCTTACTGGATCTCAGTTTGAATATAACTGACATAATCCAAAAGTTTTCTTTTTAAGCAGCAGAACTTTTTCTTCAAATGTGAACTTAACCAGCCCAACATATAAACAAAAGTAGAACTTCTCTGGTTGAAGCAGGAGGGTGGCAGGAAGTCCAATATTATGTTGGTTATGTTAAATGCAAAGGCGGCTAAGTTAAGTGATATAACTAAAATAGCTACACAGATAAAAACATGAAAATAAATATGGCTGACAGTGGTCAAACAACTTATACCCAAACTGCCATCACTGGGAACATCCATGAAAACTCCATTTTCTAGTGGTGCTAGCTTGTAAAAGAATTACCTTCTTAATGTTTTTTATTTTATTTTGGAGACAGAGTCTCGCTATGTTGCCCAGATGGCTCGTCTTGAACTCCTGGCCTTAAGTGATCTTCCTGCCATGGCTTCCCAAAGTGCTGAAATTACAGCTTGAGGACCATGCCTGGCCAAGTTACCTTCTTTTTGCTATGGCTTATAAAATGTTTTTTTTTTTTTTCAAAAAACACAGTGCAATCTGTCGATATAATAGGTACTTATTCAGCATCTGACATGTTCATAGCATTATACCAGCAAGCAGGGAAAGAACAGATAGAAGATGTGGCATTAGACCCCCCTAGGATCACATCCTTAAATCATGATTTTAAAACTACTAAGTTCATAAAGGATAAAAATGAACTCAGCTTTTCCCAGCAGTGTGTAAACATTTCTGCAAAGTTCTCTCCCTCATCCTGGGAGAGACTGATCACTGGACAACTCTTCACCACCCCTCCACACCCCCTACCCAAAATAAGATTTGCTAGCACCAAGGTACTGGGCATAGAAACAAAGTAGAGCTCTAAGGGTTCAACTTCATTTCGTGACTGTGCTTGGGCTTAGCCTTGTAGTCTACATAATGCTGCACAGATGGTGGAGAGCTATGTCAACACAGAAGGAAAGACGACATCAAATAGTAAGAGTGTTGTGGAAAGTTATATTAATATAAAAATTGTTGTATAAAGTAGATACTAATTCTAAATCCACACAACAACAGTAAGAATAAAACAATCACCAGAGAGGGAACCCTGAATAGGTATATCTCCTCCTTTTTCTGAGTAGTTTTCTCTTTTTATTTTACCTTCTGCAACTTCATCCAGTAACACGGTAATTTTCTTCTCTTCTAATAATCTATCTTTTAAAAATTTCATAAAGATTCCATTTGCCAATCCAGAATGCTGGATTTCAAAAGCTTCTGCTCCTTGACACCTTAAAAACAGAAAAAGACATTAAACCAGGCACAGAAAGGCAGATACTGTATGTTCTTGATTATATGTGGATGCTAATAAAAATGAACTCGGAGAAGCAGCCAGCAGAATTGTGGTTACCAGAGGCTGGGGCGTGGGAACAGTGGGGGGAATGTTTCTCAGGAGGAAAAAATGGTAAGTATTTGAGGTGATATGTTAATTAACTTGATTCAATCATTCCACATTGAATATGTACATCACAGCATATCTTTGTATCCCATAAACATATACAATTATAACTTGTCAATATCAAAAATCATTTTTAAAAAAGAAAACATTAGAAAACACTTGCCACATGGAACTTCTGTATACACTGATGAGCCTCATTTTCTCTTCTGTCTCTCACATGACATCGGTAATTGAATAATTAAGCTTTAAGCAGGAACTATATGCTTTTGGCTAAATAGTAAGATATACCAAGATATGGAATGCAAAGTCAACGATTTAAAATTTTCTACAAAGAATGTCAAGGAGGTAAATTTATGCCTACATGTTGATAGGTATTTTCTAGGCCTCTAATCTATAATCAAAAAGACCTTGGGAGCCAGGCACAGTGGCACATGCCTGTAGTCCCTGCAACTCAGAAGTCTGAGACAGGAGGATCATTTGAGCCCAGGAGCAGCGAGCTATGACTGCGCCTCTGCACTCCAGCCTGGGTGACAGGGTAAGATCCCTGCTCCTAAAAAGCAACAACAAACAAAAAGACATCAAAGAATGAAGGAATCTTTAACATAAATATAAAAGTTTCTTACGTGGCATATCCAAACACAATATTGGCAGTGACTTTTAGTGCATCCAAGATTGGAATAGTATCATCGTAGTCATTTCTGTTTAAGGGAGGCAGAGAAGAACAGACAGAAATATGAAAAGTTAAAGGGCGTTCTTAAAAGTATAAATAGTGAGAAAATACAACAATATTTTAGAATACATAATTTAAAATTATAGATCTAAAATTTTTCATCTAGGTAGCCATGTATCTACCAAAAATAACCCAGGACTCCTAAACTATTAAGACAGCAGACAGTCATATTTTTTCTTGTTAGCTTTAAAACGAGTTGCATTTGAACTCTGGCACTGAATTTTGATTGGTAAATGCTGAGCAAGCAAAAAATAGTTAAATCTAGAAGAACAGTCATTGGTTCTATTCCTTAGTAAGGCAATGGCAGACAAATGGGATCCAAACCTCCAAACATCTGCTTCAGCTACTCATTCTGTGTCTGCAAGACCAGAAGTCCTAACTCCATGGGTGTTGGTTTCATTAATTCCTATTTTAGTATATGTGCTGCCAAAGCAAGCACGGTTTCGTTAATTCCTGAGGGAATAACTATAGTGATTATTAAAGACATCTGAAGACATTCTGGAGCGTTGAATCCCCTGTAGTATGAGTAAATGCCCATGCCAGTTAGTTCATTTGTGTTCTATAGCAATAGGAAGAATTAAAAAAATTAGATCTACACGGAGTAAATGAACATATTTTCCTTTAGTTTTGTTCTTCCAGTTTCAATGTACAAACCAAAATTCATAAAGGCAAATGGCTGTCAGCATTTCACAGGTTTCTCTAGTTTGTCAACGTTGATATTTAACTCCAACAATTATTAATAAAGATTAGAAAATTTACCTTTTCCTACACATATCCAACAAGAACACATTAAGTCCAGTTTCTTTTTCTTGCATCAATTTTAGTATATTTTGCACACACAGACAATTTTCAGACCTATATGGATTTGGAGCATCAACAGGGACCATGAAACTGTTCCCAAAATTTTCATAACCATGTCCTGCATAATACAACAACCCTAAAAAGAGGAAAAATAAGAGAGGTGGATGTCAATTCTAAATGTACTCTGAACATACAGACTACTTAACTTTTTGAAAAACCCATGATTTTGATTTTCTTCAAGTTGACATGAGCATATGTAAGAAATATCCAATTATAAATAGACAATGTTTAATTTGCATTTAAAATTATTGGCAACAAGCCAGGTGCAATGGCTCACACCTATAATCCCAGCACTTTGGGAGGCCCAGGCGGGCAGATAACCTGAGGTCAAGGGTTTGAGATCAGCCTGGCCAACATGGTGAAACCCCATCTCTCCTAAAAACACAAAAATTGGCTAGGCGTGGTGGCGGGCACCTGTAATCCCAGCTACTAGGGTGGCTGAGGCAGGAGAACTACTTGAACCTGGGAGGCGGAGGTTGCTGTGAGCCAAGATCATGCCGCTGCACTCCAGCCTGGGTGACAGGGCAAGACTCTGTCTCAAAAAAAAAAAAGTCATAAATAAAAAAATTATCACCAATAGTCTGCACTTAAACTTTGTGTTTTAAGACAATATTAGAATGCTGTCTGAAGTATATCCTAATTTATAAAATATATTTGTAACCAACGGTAAAATATAAAATACAATTTTATTTCATGATATATAAAAAAGAATGCAGCTAGGATTTCTGTCCTGACGCCATGAAGCTAGGGTTCTGTTAGGGCAGACACAGTCTTAGGTTTATTTGTGAATTCCTGGCACAGAGAAGGAGCTTAGTAAGCATTAAATGGAGGAACACCACACAATTCAGATGAATAGCAACTGCAATATAAAGTCAAGAAACTCTGCAGGTATTACCATCAACGTTAGTTAAGCATTATAAAAATATAAACGTAGATTTATAACCAGAGATGGGAAATCTGATTTCACAGATTACTATTTTTTCTTTTTGCTATGAGATATAAATATCATTAATCTTCCATCTAGAGTCTTTTGAATTAATCTAAAATTTGGGACAGTTTAAGGACTCAATAGATGAATCAGATTTCCTGAGAATTGATACTATAAAAACTAACCCAAACAACTCAATGTGTTCTTCAAAAGAAATTTGTTTTGGCTGTAACAAACAATAAAATTCAGTCTGAACTTCTTTATAAAAATACCGGACAGAAATACCTTTGAATATATACTCCCCTCTGCTTATAATCTCTAGAGCTCATTAATTTTACTCTCTCAATATGCCGGATATGATGATTTCTTTACACGGTATTTTAAAGCAAATAGTAAAAGGCATTTAGATAGGGAGCCAGAAATAGCTAATCCGTTGTAATTACAGCCCCAACTCCTAGCAGAGAATGTCGCTTTGAGAACTAAACACCATTTGCTTCATGTGGTCCTAGAGGACAAAATCCAGGTCTACTTTTTTCGAATTTCTATTAAAATAGGAAAAATGGTTCTTTGAAATACACCATTTCAGCTAAAATGAGAAAATGGATATACCCATTTACCAAGTGTGGATTTATACCATTGCTCATGTGCACACTGGAAGTTATCATGTAGGCACTGAGGGAAACAAAGACAAAGATTCATGCATGGACATTCACGCATGCTCATGTTATCAAGCAACAATGAAAGTCATATAATTAAATGCCATAAATCATGTTGTGGGACAACAATGTTTGTATGAAATGAGTAAAGTACAGAGAGGAGTATCAGTATGAAGTGAAACAACAGGGGATGGTCTGAAGGGAGAGAATGGCTAGAATTTAGAAAGGCAGAGAGAGACAGCAAGGTAGATTATGGGCAGGAGAACAGAAATAAACATGGAATGGACCTGGAATGAAAGCTAACAGAAAAAAGACTAGCCTAGCAAGAAACTACATTACTGCTATGAATGAAAATAAGAGTGCACACACAGGAAATTTTAAAAAGGAGTGCACAGATAGGGAGGGTTTTAAAAATAATGACCAAAGGAATGGATTTATTTTAACAAACCAAGAAGATCTGGTAAGTGAAAAGACAACCCACACAACAGGGAGAAAATATTTGCAAATCATTTATCTGCTAAGGAAAGCTTGTATCCAGAATAAAGAACTCTTCCACTAATCAATAAAAAGACTAATGACTCGATTTAAAACTAGTCAAAGGATCTGATGCTTCTCCAAAGAGGATATACAAATGGCAAATATGTATATGAAAAGATGTTCAACATCATTAGCCACTAGTGAGATGCAAATCCAAGCCATTTCACACTCACCAGAATGGTTACAATAAAAAAGACTGACAAGAACAAGTGTTGGCAAGGATGTAGAGAAATTGGAACCCTCATTCATTTCTGGTGGCACAAAATGTAAAATGGTGTAGGAACTTTGGAAAGAGTCTCGTAGTTCCTCAAAAAGTTAAATATAAAACTGCCATATGACCCTGTAGTTTCACTCCCAGGTACACAGTGAAGAAAACTGGAAACTATGTCCACATAAGAATGTGTATACAAACGTTCATAGCAGTATTATTCATAATGTCCAAAAATATCTGAGATGATAAATGGATAAAATATAGTGGAATCATATAATGTAATATTATAATGAAGTTCTAGTACATGCTACAATATAAATGAACTTTGAAAATATTATGCAAAGGGAAAGAAGCCAGACATAAAAGGCCACATATTGGGTGATTCCATTTATATGAATGTCCAGAATAGGCAAATCCACAGAAACAAAATAGATTTATGGTTGCCAGGGGCTGCAGTAAGGAGGAATGAGAGCGACTGCTAATGGATACCCCTGTTTCTTTTTGGGGTGATGGAAATCTTCTGAAGTTAGGTAGTGATGACTGATATCCAACTTTGTGAACATACTGAAATCATTAAATTACAGACTTTAAAAAGAGTACAATTTATACTCAAGTATTCAAAATATAACTCTATTTTCCATCAGGCTCTTTACTGCTTCAAGAGCAAGATAAACTTATTTTTAACCTCCACAACAGTGCTCAAGTCACTCTATCTATTTTCTATCTACCCAAACCATAACCAGTCCTCAGGGGTTATTTCCAAAGTTCAGAATCCTTGGCAACTTTCTACTTGGTTTGTGTCTTTCTAACACACTTCAATCCCTACCTTAAAATGCTGTAGCAGCACTTTCTGACAATCACATACTGGCTTTTCCTGATATCGTAGAGTCCTAAGTCTACTTAGTTTTTCTGATAAGAAATCATCATAATGACATCTTTTACATTTGTACAGTCTGAGTATCTCTTACCTGAAATGTTTGGGACCAGAAGTGTTTTGGATTTTCAGATTAGAGAAAACCCGTATAACATTTTCTTGGTTTTCAAAGGACTTTCATATACACAATCTAATTTTAATCTATATAACAGCTTTAAATACTTTCCACTCTTATAGAGAAAATTAAATTATATAGGTTAAATGATTTGCTTAAAATCACACAGTTGATGTATGTTTCAACTCCATATGTAGTGTTTTTTTCTCATTGTAGTAAGGGAGTATAATTTTCTTAGGGGGACAGATCATGATCTTTATGCACTATTATTTCCCTTAGTACATAGCATGCATTCTCCTTATCTGGACTATGGATGTAACAGGAAGAACTCAGTAAATACTTACTGAATTGCATTAAATTAATGCAAACCAATCAAGACAGTGTCAGATCTGGAGTTCCCTTTTCAGGGGTCTTTCAGTAGAAATGGTGTCATTTCAACAACTGGTATTGCTTCGAAACAGCTGACCAGCAAGCCTGGGTGCTGCCTCCCTCGTGTCAGGTAACGTATCTGGCTTTACCAAGACTTGATTGGGTGATGATATAAATGCGGAGAAGGCTTAGTTTCCATTCATCCAGGGAAAAGCTGAATGTTGTTCCCTGACATTAATGCCACGTGCCCAGCCCTGCCACTGCTGAATAAAATTACGGCATTTAACACCAAAATATTTTTTTCTCTTTCCTAAAATGTCTTATGAAAAGTATAACTATTTTGTATTGAAGTCTGCAACCAAATTATATTCAGGGGAATTAAGTACTTCTGTGTAAAATAAACTAGTCCAAATCATTAAAATTTTTTTATTATTTATTTGAGACAGGGTCTTGCTCTGTTACCCAGACTGGAGTGCAGCAGTGTGACCATGGTTCACTGCAGCTTCGACCTCCCAGGCTCAAGCTATCCTCCCACCTTAGCCTCCCAAGTAGCTGGGACCACAGGCATGTGCCACCATGTGTGGCTAATTTTTAAATTTTTTTGTAGAGGTGAAGTCTCACTGTATTGTCTAGGCTGGTCTCGAACTCCTGGGCTCAAGCAACCCTCCCACCTTAGTTTCCCAGAGTGTTAGGGTTATAGGTGTGAGCCACTGTGCCTGGCTCAAATCATTTTTTTTTAAAAAAACCTCCATCCTAGCTAGCACTGCTTATTTAATTAACTATCCCATTAATCAAGAATAGAGAAGAAAATAGTTTTTTTTTTTTTTTTTTTACAAATGTCAATAACTTATTGTAGAAATATAACATTGTTAGAAATATAATTCAGCAAGTTGGATCTTTGGGGAGTTTTATTTCTTGGGAGCATGATTCAAGAATACAGTCACAGGTATTTACTTTTGTCTACAGAGAAAATAATCATTTAAATGAAAAAACTTTTCCACTCAAGTGAACACGCGCTCCACCTAGCACAGTGAGTGGTTGATGAGCCACCCCAGCAGGCTTACACAGCACTGATTATGTACCAGGCACGATTCCAAGAAAGCTCACGGGTTATACTGCCCCACACAATCCTCATGACAAGGCAGGTAATATTAACTTTCCTCTTTCACAGATGGGAAAAGTGAGACATGAAGAGGTTTAAAAGCTCACCTAAACTGAAATGCCTAGTAAGTGACAGAACCAAAATACGGATGCAGGCCAGCCTCACCACTGTGCTAGATAATACTGTCTCTAAAATCTGCTGGCTTTTTAGGTAACTTTACTCTCAGACAATGTAAAATGTCAGTGTACTGGTTTTTCAATATTCTGCTACACTATAGTTTTAAA